TTTCTAACGATCTACTCCGATTCTCCCATGCTCATGTGAGATGTAGTTAGGCAAACGGGTTTGACTCACATTGCACATTGGGGGGGGCTCTTAATGGCACTACTAATTTGCATATTTTTCCTGGATAATTCATTTCTCTGGCCCCATGTTTGCGTATATTCATTTTTCTTCGTTAAATATAAACCCTCTTGTCTTACTGAAAAATAAAAACCGACTATCTACAAAAATGACTAAAATCACAGCTAGTTTGTTGCTCCTGTGTGGCTTTGTGGTAGAATCAGTATGAGGTTCGATTAACTCTGCCTAGGGAACTTAAAATCTGCATAAATAAATGTATTATGGGAAAAAGATTTTGGTCTGTCCTAAGCCCCGTAAATACGAATAATCATGATATCTTTAGCCTTATTATGTAGAACATCAACAAATGAGAGCACGCGTTTACAGGCGAGTAGTTGATTTCTAAAATTCAACCACTAGCTTGTACAGATCAATAAATGCAGCAAGCTGTACAAAAAGACTGACATTCAGTCGGCTAGTGGCCACAGCTTTTGCATGGGCAATCAATATAGGAGTCCTTCTAGGAAGCCCAACGAAATAGTGTGTATTTAGTTGCCTTTCGAAGGAAATTGCCCATCTGAACCCATTAGAAACTTTTCGGAGAGGTAAGTAAGTGGAACCCTTTTTGTCGTCTTTTGGTCACTTTCACAAATTGAGAAACCATGATTAATTCCAACAAATACGGTTTATTATGCGTGGTTACCTATTCTATTTGTTGCGTTTGTAACGCTAATTGTATTAACCGAAATGTAGCTGAATCAAAAAAATAAAGACCACTATTCACATTGATCTTGGCACTGCGGAAAGGTAGGTAAAAGAAGCACTGGTTTCGTCGACTTAGCATTGTCAGGTCACCATGTAAAGCCTGAATCAGTCTTCAACGGTACCTATCGAGTATCACCCCACGAAACCAAATCGTTGCTTCTCCGTAGTCCAACCGCCGTGGAAGCGATGGGCTCTTTGTTCCTTGCCCAAGGTATATGCAGAAAAGAGATTAGGCTATGCCATCCAACTGTCACGGCCGCAGATCGATCGCGCATATGACGCATACTGACCTGGTTGTAGGCTTGAATCACACACCGCACCACTCCCTCTCTTCTGACCTTACCCCACCAGTCACTGTAACCTTTGACCGACTGCTCGTTTATCCTTTTAGCATGTCATTTCATTATGTGATCTTTACAGAGTGTAAGGTGAAATATTGAAAACAACTGTTCGCCTCCGAACGTGTTTACATCTTAAGCCTCATTTCAGTTTCTGCTGAGACTGGGAATCAGTTTTATTACCTGACAGAAGAATTAGCCTATGTAGAGCTTATGGTTGCGTATTTGTTATCAGGGCGCACTTTGACAGAGAAGGAAGTAGTTGAAATGAGCGTTACAGATGGTACTCGGGAGGAGAATTGACAGTAAAATGACACTGTTAATCCTAACCACATTTATCTTTTTCTCATAGACGGAGTGTAAAAGTAAGGTGGGCATTCGTAGGTAAAGTTCACTATGCGACTGTTTTACTGTGCGGAATTTAATAACATTACCTTATATTGACTGCGTACCATAGGATTTATTGTGCTCTTCACTCTCACTGAATCGCACCAAACATGTACACCTTTCATTGTGAGGCTGCTTCTGATGAATGCGGCTTTTTGTTTGGCAAAACTACACTTCAACAATAATTCCTTTAAGAGCCTTCGATAGGTTTCTCATTCTGCTCGAGCAAAAATTGAGTGCATGATTAGAATAATTCTTAGAGTAACCATCGCGGTCTAATGTAGTTATGCCAACACTGCTCATAACTTCACCTCCCGCAATATATGCGTTTAATACTGTTTATTATCCACGATTTTTGTGGTCTACGAGCCCCGCAGATGAAATCAAGCACCATGCTCTGTGCTTTCGTTTCTGACAACCAGGACAGTGCGAATACCAATCCATCGGGTGAGACTTGCTGAAGCTCGCCATATTGCTTGCTTTTCTACTCACATCCATATCATTCCCATCAGTCACTAAGACCTCTCACTATTTTCATCATCTTTACATTATTCGGTCAGCAATTTAGAGGCAAAGGTCTTACCTGTAAAAAGTAAAATTCAACTGCATGCGTGAAATACGTACTGGAGTTTGTGATCACGAACCTTTTTCAGACAATTTTGTCTTTTCCATCATGAGTTCTTAGTTATTCTTTGATATCTTTATCAGTCATCCGATAGCGGAAAGTCAGTCTACTACAATTAGGCATCAACCATTTTTATCGATTGCTTGGTATCTCAGTTTTTATTTTTTATTTAATTCATTGAAAATTTACATTTGGTTCATTTAGGCCTTCAGCACACACTTTTAATTATTCGATTTTACTTTTTGGTCATTACTCTTGCCCTCAGATTCTATTCATTTACTGCTAAAAAGTAACCCATTAGTTTGATCGTTAGTGGTTTCTAACTGCTGCAAACTGTATTTAAAACAGTGTGGTTTTTACTCTATTGTTTCAATAGGGAAGCGAGTGGATATAATGCAATTAATTTATTTTCTACGTAAACACACATTTGGTCTCACTTATCACGTATCATCCACTCCTCAGTTTTGCACTGTTTCTCAGATTAGTTACATTATACTTCTTCCTGACGTCAATAAACGTGCTACTGGGTAACATTTGCTTTTGCTGTTATTGAGTCATTTCCCTGAGAATCTCACTCGATGATGAAAGATGTTGCCTCGTTTAATCCCCTCACAAATTCTTTCTTTTGTTTTGATCAATCTGTACTTTATTGTTTTGTGTTGTGACCAAACTCTGTATTATGTGTAAAATGATTTCTTTCTAAGTTACTCTTTTACTTTTCATGGTGACTTGTACTCTCTCTTCACTGTGCGTGTTCTTCCCGGCAGAACGCACTTGTCTGACTCCCAATTTTCCCGTTTCGCCGCAGTCGAGAAGCACTAAACCGTTCAGAACATTCACGCCAGTTAACTCAAGCAACTATTAAGAGGGGTGAAGCAAGGCTCACTCCGCGGACTGTGTTATCGTCGCTAACTCCAAGCTTGATTAAAGAATAAAAACGATTCTGCGCTTTTCCGAGTTCAGGGTGTGCTTCTGAATAAAAACAGTCTCATTCATCTGAAATTATCATTCCAAGAAGTGATAATGAATTGCTTGAACTTACTTTGAAATGGGCTACTTTAATTGCATCATTGGTTTCCATGGCGAATCAACATCCCACTCATAGTCCTCCGTTTGCAGCTGAGTAGATCAAACGGTTCTCGTATGTTGTCATTTGTATTTACTTTCGTTGAGCTCCTTTTAAATTCCCAATTCATCAATAAATTGCCGGGAAACTAAGGAAAGTTTGTAATGAGCTTTGCAAGATTCGAGCAACTTTAGCAAACAACATGTAGCCGAACCTCTTCTTTATTATTGAAGCTTTTGCGTTGATACCATGCTTGTTAGGAAGCCGGTGTTTTATATATATGGAGATCACTAAAGGTTTTTTGATTCATTAATGGATTCTTTGATTTGCCCTCACATTCCACAACGATTATATAACTAGATAGTATGATAATTTTTATTGCATCTCGATATTTTTGAAACCTTTTGTCAGATCGAGGCGATCAGATGATGAAACAGTGAATAGTAATTGAGGGATTGTGGATGCGTTGTGACGGCTTTTGTGTGGCAACGGATCACTCGTGTCCGATTGTGCGTACGATGACCTGCTTACTGCTTCCATCAAGGTTAAAAGCAACCAGGTCACTTCATACGAGTTTGTGAACTTCATATAACTGTGGTGTGTGTGCGTGTGTGATGTTTGTGCGTAGATTTGAGTGGATGACGATATCCGGTGCACTATCGATCAGATGTTCCGAAAATTTCTGCATGAAACAACATGTTCGAATTATGTAGGAATTTGAAAACAGGATGATCTTTAGAAATAACACCACAAAAGTAACCAATAAAAGTATCATTCCTTGCATTCAAGATATCATCGAAGTTAACAAAAATATATTTACTTCCCCCTCCCGTAATGTTAGAGCAATCTCAAATATCACTTTTTTCATTGCTGAATCTCTTTAGCAATAGATAATAACACAATGAATTATTCTTAACTTCAAGTTGTATACCTACATTTGGTCCCTGGCAGTACAATTAAAAAAAAATTTTTATCACGTTTTGTTTACTTAAAACTAAGATGAATAATTGTACAAAACGAGACTACCGACACATAATAAACTTTCAGAGGTCAGTAAAAATGGGCTGATGAACCAGCTGTGGTTAGATTGAAACACGGGACCCTTCAGTATATGGAACTACAAAACCCGCAATCATTAACCGAATGATCAAGATATTCCACCTGCAGTAAAACATGAGGTCCACTGTAGTAAATTCACATAAAAAAAGATAAGTTTAATTTCATCTAGAAATCATTATTGCAACTAGACACGAGATAAAGGAAAAGGTAAAATCGCTCATCAGTTTCAAACATCTAACAGGAGATCAACAAGACATTTGTGGCAATAATCTGATTTACTTGGCAACTGCGCAAATTGTTTCACAAAATAAATCTCTCCGAAGTTGGAAATAGTTCTTATCTTTTAACAATTGCCTGTGTACGGATTCACATGGCGATCAATGTATCTTGCACTTAAAAGCGACAATCACTACTTCTCCGTTTTGACCAATTTCGTGCTAGTGAATTTTCAGCCAATCAGGCTTATGCACACAGCTACAACTCAGGACCAATCAAATTTGACCATGAATACAGACTGATTGCACACAAACATCAAGGGTACTATTCGGCCATTCAGTCAGTGTGAACAGGGAACGTGTGCTCGGTCAATGCGACCAAATTTATGGTTATACAAATTCCGATATGATTCGGTCTTTGCTATCAGCTGAATTCGGCCACTTTTAGGGATCCCCTTTGTGTACGCACTGCCACTTAAAACTTCATCATGACATTGAGCACCACTGCAATATTATTTGTGTTTCTCAGCGTAACTGGACTAAGTGGTTGCAATGCATCGCCAGCAGACGAGGGACAGTGGCAACCTCACTCAACATGGAATTTTTCGCGTGATCCCAAAGCACTCATTTCCACAAAACGTCAAACCCGTTCCAATGAGTTCGATCAGCCCAAAATGATATCTCTTTCCCAAGGCGATATGCCACCTCTGATTTTGGACTCTGATGGTACACACGATCAAGCGAGTAATTTGTTTGAAGATGACTCGTTGAACCAATGTGTGCCCATCCATGAGCAGATCTGTCAGGGATTGCAATATACACCCACGCGTTTCCCCAACC